TCACCACAGAGGCAGCTCTGCAGACCCTCGGACAAGGCCACTGCTTTTCCCTGTCCAGCCCTCAGTGTGATGAATCCTAACCTCAGAAGCCACAATTCAGCTTTGCATGTTGTGAGGTCACCTATTCCTTTATCATAAAATTCAGACTTCTTTCTGAATACCCTAAAATTTCTTGCTTACAAATCCATGGCATTTTAGGCTGCCTCTGTGCTGGTCACTGAGCACAGCACAGCAGTGACCATCCAGCCCTCCCAGCAGAGGAGACACATCCAAAGTGTTTGCTGTGCCATGACTCTCACTTCCACACCTTCAAAAGTAGTAATATTGTACATTTATTTGTCATCTGGTTGAGGAAAGTACATCTCTAATAACCATCAAAATAAAAAGACAGTCAAATGTTAGCATTCCTCTTTCCACCCCTTTGTCTCAAACTGCTCTAAGGATGTTTTATAAACCATGTTAAGGAGTGGAGGGTCCAGCACTGAAAAAAAAATTACAAGTTAGGCTGTTTTATTTCTTCCTTCCTGAGGAGAGAACAGCCTCCATTGAAGCGAGGAAACAGAAAATGAACATCTGAGGCAGTCATGCAAAATTTCAGACGGAGTCTTACTCGTGTGATTCTGTTTAATCACCGTCCATTTCCTCTTCACTCTTTAACTAAATAATAAATATGGAGTGGTTTTTTCATTACTGTGTGAGCCATAGCTGCTCCTGAAGAAAATACAAAACTAAGGGGTGAGCCTTGAAATCAGCGAGTTTCACTGATTTTAAATACAAGGCACCTGTGTACATTTCTAATCCAATAATAATAATACAGGACCTTTTTATCTTAGGAACTCTCAGGAGTAATTTCCACATCTGAGTGTAGCACACATCATAAATCCACTCCAAATGATTTTTAAATTTGTCCTTTCCAATTCTGGCTTGAATTGACATTTTGTTCTGGTTGAAGTGGCATCCATAGACACCTTCTCCCCTGCAATTAGTTGAGATTAAGCAGTTGGAGAATCAGCACAGCAAAGATCAGAAGTGCTTATAGTCACGATGCTTTGATCATACTGAACAGCAGAACAGCAGTAGGCTGTAGTTTGTGACTTTAAGATGCATAAAAACATATATTTCTGAGACTGCTTTAAAATGATCCATAGCAGGATGTGCCAGAAAGTGGACTGCGTTTTTTACTGCTGGCGTGCAGTTTATAATGCTGGAGTCTGTCTGCAGCTTCAGTGCAAATCTCATAGAGCCTCGTCTTTTCCTTTGTTCAATATTTATATCTTCCTGTGCTACTTAACAACATACTAAAAAAGAACTCAGTGTGTTCCAATTGCAGATCTGGATTTATTTAATCATTGGCAATCTGAAAGCGTTCAGAGCTTTGGGTTATTGGTGTTTTATATAAATGCCACAGATGATCTTTTGGAGCATGTGTGCCAACTATCCCAGCAATGTGAGCAGCCTGAGACAGGCGGTACAGCGAGAGGTTTTAGTCACACCCTATTCACTGAATTTAATAGCAGCTGTGCAGCTAAAACCTCTTATCAGAGCTGTGGAAGTGTGTGCTGGGGTGAGTGTACACTGACCACAGCTGCCTGAATCCTATCAGCCAACGTCGTCTGCTCGGCTGCACCCTGGGCAGAGCTCGGTGATGGGGAGCAAAGTTTGACACATGGCTGAGTTCATATCATAATTCGGAAAGTGAGACGATCAGTGCACTTGAACACACTTCCTAGATGCTTTTAAAAACTTCATTGTTCGGTTCCTGGTACTTGCAGGCCAGGCCCAGGATGTTGTAAGAACCACCAGATGTGGAATACTTTGGCTTTTGAACTTCCTTTGCTCCTGAGGGAAGCTGAGAAGATCAGATAGACAAATGAAAAATTAAATAAGTAGACCCCCCACCAAACTCACAGAAGTCTATCAGATCCCTGTCCCCAAAAATTTTTGGCTTTTAATTCTCCAAGTGCTCAGAAGTTGTTTTCAGGTCTGCTGCTATTTCTTCCCCTGAACTTGTTCCTTATCTCTGTCAGCATATTGTAGGATACTTTGCCCCTCACTTAGGTAACATTTATACAGTGAAATCAAAGTCATGTAAATGATGGGCTGCTCATATTATACTGCACTGAGTAGAATTCCCGAGCAGTTACGTGTTCCTTTGCACGCTTGTGAAATGTGTGTGTATCAACATGGTGAACTGCCCGACAAAGAGAGTAATCTAGGACATCAAGGCACCTACAGGGGACGATCAGAGCAGGGGTGAGAAAGCAAAAAGCATGTGGAGAGATGGGAAATGGAGAGAGAAAAGTGTAACAAGAGAAAATATTTTTCTTAAAAAAAATGGAGAAAGAAACACTAAAAATTCATTTTGTCGTGGGGGATTTCCTGCAGGTAGACTCCTGTGGTAGATCTTTACTGAAAGAATAGCATCTGTTTTTCATAAATAGTTGTTGAGATATACCTTTAAATGAATTTGCATAAGAAGGAAGCACCATTATCTTCATTATACCTGTGGGAAAGCTTAGGAAAAGCTAATTGATTTGCTTAAAGTCAAACTTTCTACCAGACAAAACAGCAATAGCCTCTTGAGTCACTCTTCACTGCTTCCCTGGCAGAGATCTAGCTCTGCCCTGCCATCAGTTCACAGGATGTGCAGACAAAGGCAAAGTGGTTTTGTTATACATTTCTCACTGTTGCTCAGCTAGATGTGTTTGCTAAGCAGAATTGATCACTCTCTACTTTTGTTGTCCAAATTTCATGCTACCTTTCCCAAGACTCTGTGGTTTAATAATAAAACATGCTGCTCACCACTGTTTCAAGTTTTTAAAAAATGTTTCCCCACAGAGTCCCAAGAAAAATATGTACCGGTTCCCAGATAGCTAATTCTGTCCAAAGAGCATCCTCTGAACGATACTGCAGTAGGCATCCCAGACAAGAGGGATGTAGAAAGGATCAGTACACACGGCCATGAAAATGGTTTCCTGACAGTGTTGGCGCAACCAGGAATTTTGAGAGTAGAGGAATCTGTTACGTTTGTGAGACTTTGGCATTTTTTGCTTATTGAAATTTTTATTTGCCCATTGGTTCTTCCCAGTTTCCCCCATAAATGGAGTTTGAAATTCTGCAATACTCTGAGTCTTGTGGTTACTGCAATGCCTCTGTGAGGTGCTCTCTGACAGCTGAGCGCAGGGACTGCCCACATCACCTATGGGGACATGGCTCCTGATGGAGATGGCAGTGCAACAACCACTCTTCCCCAAACTCCGATTCTATAGCAGCACAAACAAAGCCTACAGTATTTGCAAATATTTTGGAAACTATAGAGCCTGAGTTTAGGTGGAAAGCAGTTTTGGCCATGACCAACCAATCCATTTGATATCTGGTCCAGCCCCCTACTGGCACACACTCCCCCCATCCTAAATTTTAAAAAATCAGGAATGAAGAGGCAATGATCAACTGGTGGGGGCCCTGCCACCCATCTGCTGGCAGGTCACAGCTGACTCTGCTGTTGTACATGTTTTTGCTACCTCTGCTAATCCCAACAGGCTGAAGCAATTTGTTTTTCCATTCCCTTTTTGCAAACCATCCACTGGCAGCAGCCAAAGTCAATCCATTGCTTCCATCAGAGCTCACAGCACAGACAATAGCCGTACAAAGCAAAGACAATACAAAGAAGACAGAGGGAAGGAGTGGGTGGCTGGGGATCATGCACAGAGCCAGCTGCTCATGGCCAGAGGTTCCATCAACCCCACAACCTCTGACACACTGGTGTTACTCAGTGCCAGGAATGCAGGAGGCCCTGTAGGCTACCGAGGACTGAGGAGCATCACCTTTGGCTGAGGAGCATCACCTTCACAAGCAGAAACCTTCTGGTACAACTGAGGGCAAAGGTATAGAAAAATACACTGGACAGTTGGAAATATGGGCAAAAGCCTTAGGCCTGTAGAAGCAGATCTCCTTTTCCTGGAAGATACAGAAAAGGACATAATGTACTGTCTTTCATAATTTTCCTTTGAGCTAGAGGGAAACTGAAAGGTCTGCTTCGGGGAGGTGTCCCTCCAGTGAAACCCTCTGAGGCTAAGGTGGTGAGCAGACCCCTTGGATTTCCTCACTGTACCTTGCTTTTCTCTTAAAACCCAAATACCCAGGGGTAAAGTAGCACTGTAAGGAGGGTAAGAGTGATTTGGGTAATGAACTTCAGTTTTTCTCTTTTCATAAAAATGAAGGTGAAGTGCTTTTGAAATGTCATTATCTTCTGTACTTACTGCATACCTGCAGGACTCAGTTCCTTGCTGTGCAGGACAAGTACATAAGCTGCCCTGTGCCATCCCAGAGGCAGCTGCCTTGCTCTCAGACATATAATACCACTAAAGTGATTAAAGGTTTTGGTATGACACAAGGCAGGAGGGTACCTCATTGCAGAGAGACTGTAGAAGGTATTTGAGCAAACAACGAATAACTAGCAAGTTTTGATTTGCTTTTGATCCAGAGTATAAGCCTTTAGCTTTTCAGAATTTTCAAAGAAATTCTGTGATAAAAAATCAAAACCTGAGTTCTGAAATTATTCAAGAAATGTCACTGATTATCGCAGTGGAGTATTGGGCTGATTGGCATCATGCAGCTGAGTCTTTGATGACACTCACTGAACCAAGTTTTTCCAAATATTACCCCATCACAGATCAATCCTGAACCAAGAAATTGTACTGATTCTTTGAAAAATAAAGCATCTCTGTTCTTTCCAAACACATAAGGAAAATAGAAGAGTAATGTGAGCTCTGCATGTGCTGTAACTTCTAATTGATGTGAAAACAACCACGTTAGGGAGCACCTTCTTTTCTGCACTGTGCTGCTTTCATGGGCTGTAACCTCATCTAATTTTGCATCCAATTTTAAAGGACCTCCACAGGTGGTTCTGCAAAAAGTAAGCCATGGCATGAAGGCAGTCTCTCAGGTTATCTCTAAAAAAAACATTTAATTATTGTCACTCTTGTGTTTATTTTGCCCAGTGAACAGCAGCAAGCACATAGTGAGAAAATACCGTGGGCACCTCCGAACAAAGATCGAGTCCGGGGAAGGAACCATACCCGTCCGGTGCCGCAACGCAGCTCAGACGTGGGACGGGGTGTTGCTGGGAGAGCAGCTCATCACCATGTCCTGCACAGACAAAATCGCCAGGTACGTGACACACGCATGAAAGTCTTTACATGTGGAAATGAAGTTTGATTCCAAAGAGGACTGTGGCGACTGGTGGGGAATATCCAGCAGGTGCTGACAAGCCCTGTGGAAACAAAAACCTCCTTTGTATGCAAAAACAGACCATATAAACAGGAGGGAATGTAAATAGGACATTTTCCCAAATTCTCTGTGGGTCGTTAGCCGCTTATTACAGTGTGACAAAAATATAAACTGTCTTGGCAGCTTTTTTTTGCCAGTAGAATTTCACTGTGCAAATAAAATACGTCCAACTCTGCTGTTCTTGGATCATTTACCCCAAAACTTGCAAACCAACCATCACACAGATAAACTTAGCTTGTCTGTACCCAATTGGATAAGGTGCCCTAAAAGCTGCTAGGAATATTCCTACCATTTCAAATGTCATTGCAGAACTCCCATGTCACAGCCCCCTCTGCAAATTTCTGTTCTGTCCTGTAAATACAACACATATTTATGTAGAATAATTTCCATACAATAAATATTTCATAATTATTCTATGGTGGCACATAAAATGTAAACACCTTCACTGTTCTCAGTTTAGGATGTTAGCTAATAGCAAAGGATGGCTATCATAAACCGAAATCAAAGTGTGTGCTCTTGGATGCTTACTTATTGCTCTATTAGTATATATCCATACATGCATGTCTACTTATGCTCATAATTATATAACTCTGAAGTGCAGTAGCTGTCGATGTTTGCATGTTCTACATGTAAAATATATCAAATTATAGCTATAAAAATTTAAATACTATGATCAAATTCTCTGCTGAAATATCACGCCTAAGAATTTAGTTAAATCATATCAGCCAAGAATTTGGCCCAATTACTAAAGGCCAATATAAACATAATCTTTTAAAAAAAGTATAAATCTTTTGTTTAATGCAAATCCATGAATTCTGCTCTTCACTTTAACTGGATGACCCAGTGGAGATAGATTATTCTGTCGGCTTAGCAATGCCTACCACTTTGGCACAAAAATGTAGGAGCGAAGCAGCAAATGGAAATACTACCACAGTCACAAAATCCACCCTCTGCTAAGTGTAATCATCACATCTCTTGTGTTTGAATGAAGGATAAAGAGCGACTTCTGCTGTAATGTTTTCACTTATTCATAAGGAGATAACAGAAAACCCAAACTGTATTCAGTGGATGTCCTGCACTGGATTTAAGTGCAGCTGGGTTTTCCAAATTCAGAATCATATGGACTCAAAAAACTAAACAAATTTAAGTTCAAGAATAGAAATACTGCACTCTCTGTGGTTTTGAATGTCATTAGCTAGTGAATTATATATGAGCTTTGCAAACACTAATACGTTTGCTGTTGATGGGGATGGTGACAATAGTGCACAGTCTCAAGAGTGGTTTTTCTCCAAGCACATCTGCTAAGAACTTTCATTGAATCCTTTCCTTGTTGCCATGCATCTAAACAACATTAGAGATGTGAAGAAAAAAAGAATCTGCCACAAAGTTTTTGCAAGATAAAAAAAAAATCTCACAACTCTCATCATTAATGTTATTATTTCATTATTGTACAAATTACTGCAATTTTTATTATTCATTTTCATTGTAATTCAAATGAGCTTGGGTTTCTCTTAAGCCAAAAGATTTATTATTATTCCCTGTTTCTAACAGCAAATGTTTTCTCTCACCAGTAAGAGCCAGTTAAAAAGAGGCTGAGACCAGGGGATATGGCATCTGCATTATACTTTATCCCAAATTTCAGTTTACCACATTAAATGCCATCTATGATAATTTTTTATCATTATTATCCTCACCTGTAAGGGGGAGAAATCAAAAAATTTCTTCACTTGACCTTTGTATCAGCACAGACAGGACAGTTTTCTGCCTTCTTTGCCTCTGGCAATAGAAAGTGCAGGCAGGAAAGGAGTTCAGTGGACAAGGAGATTGTTATGTGAGGGCCTTTTCCCACTCCTGCCCCACTGAAGACCAGTAGTTGGTTTCTGTGCCACTCTTCAGACACCAAACATTTCCCCTGCCACATAGGTAGCTTAGTCTTCAAATATCTGCAGGGTGGAGGAATCTGGTTACACATCATCTGGGCTTGTCTTGAAATGAGAGAAAAAAGAAATCTCTGAAGCTGAAATTCATGTTTGTACAAGCAAGATTTGACAAAAAATCTGGTTGTATACTTTGGATTTTATTGCTTGTAAAAGTCCCTCAGGAGCACTGGGCTATTAGAGAATGCTTCCTCTTGAGAATCTAGCCAGTAGCTGCTAAAATATACATCATTTTACTTTATTTGCAAAGGACATTGCTATCAGAATATCAAAGACCTAAGAACATAGAGAGTTACTGAGAAAAGTGAATAATATTCTATAAATCACATATCTAAAAATTTATGTTCTTTCTTGCTCACAGGATAGCTATAAGCAGTAAGTAGTTTAATCAGATTTATTTGTTATTCAAAGACATTTAGCAATTTTTATTACTATCACCACAACTTCGAGAGAATTTGATGCTTGATATGCATTATTTGTGTTCTGTGGCTTTGTTGATACAGCCTGGTAACATACCTGTTCCCTCACTGAATTAAAGCACAAGCTCTTCCGGCATGAATAGTCATGTTATTTGGCTGAGGCAGGGAATGACAAGGTGAAATTCTGTGGCTGCATTATAAAGGAGGTCAGAGTAGATCTTGGTGGTTTCTTCTGGCTTTAAAACCTATGCATTTATATGTGTAAATTTAAATTTTGGGCTCTGTGAATCCCTAAACAACCCTATGAGAGTGTCAGCTTTTATACTTACAACTGCTGTGAGCCTCACAGTGCAGTTGAAGTGAGTTCAGCCTCTCAGTGCTGTAGAATTTACTATTAAACCTCATTCTTTAGACCCATATTTCATTAATTACACTAACACCTTTTGACCTCCATTTTCCTCTGTAATGTACGCTGTATACATTTGTGAAAAAAAACAGCAATAACATAGGAAAAATAATATTGAAAATGATCATCTGTTTGGGGAAAAATTTATGTCATTTAACATTTTCTTGATGCTAATCATAACCTATATTAAAACCTTTATGTCAACAGAGACATTACAGCCCTAAGGGAATTTAGGCTTTTTGTAACAGCAAACCCATTCAATGGGCCAAATTAAACCTCCTTTCATCTCCCTCTCTCACACTAAGGATGGGCGCAGGAGCAGTTCATACCTTGCTTATTAGAAGGTCAGTGCAAGGTTAATGCTGCTGTTGCTGATGAAGTCTCTGCAGTTGCTATTTGGGAGCAGACAAATGTTTGAAGGAAAATTTTCATGTGCACAGGCATACACACACAGGCATACACACACACACAGGCACACATATCTAGGGGGAAAAAAATAGATGTCTCTAGAGCTCAGGTCCTCTTGGAGGATCTAAACAATCTAAACACAATAACCAAACACTAGGAAACAGCAGCACTACGTTCTTTCTCTGATTCCCAGAACCCTTCAGGACTGATTTGTGTACAGGTTTCTACCAGCTGCAAGGGCGGCATTTGCAGCACATGCTGGGGCCTCAGGGACACTGGCTCTCTGTTTGTGTCCCCTTCAGTGACATGATCTCCAGATGCACAAAGCCTGCCCATCTCTGAGCCTCTCCTCCCTGCTGCACAGCACTGCCCACAGTGTGTATGTGTATGCCAGATTTGCAGGTGACAGTTCACACAGTCAAATGATTGCATATATAAAATAATAATTTCCAAATGTCTCTACTTCTTATTCCTAAATCAAGAGAAATGTGAAAGATTGGACAAAATATCAAAGAACTCTGCATTTCTCCCAAGTCCAACACCCCTCTTGACTGCTTGTAGATGAAATTCAGTCTGTCACAGAGTAGAGAAGCCATCTTCCCTTCCATATGCTTTGTGCGCTGACTCAGGGGAACACTGAGCTTCAGGATGGTCTCCTTCCACCATGGCTCATCCTCTAGGCTCGCCATGCCCTGCATTTGACAGCAAACATCTCCCTTCTGTATAAAGTTTCCTGTTCTGTGCTCTTCTGTACTCATCGGGTTTACTGATCTCATAATCAGCACCTGGGTCCCTTCTTCTTCCATGCAGAAAACTGGAGAAATTCCCTTTCCCAGTGTCAACCAACCCAAAATACCAAGGGGTTCTCCTCTGTGTAGCTGCACAGAAAAGTTTAGTGATGGCCATCGCCGGTGGTTTGGTAGAGAACTGCAGAAGTGCTGGCAGCACACAGAGGAGGCCACCAAAGCCCTCCATGGCACAAACAGGAATTCCCAGGTCCCATGTCACTGCGTCACCTCCACTACCATGTGTGCAAATTATTTTGAGGATCTTTGTGCAAGTATTCATCACTAAGGATTAATCTAAAAATTAGTTTTGTCTGGGTGTTCCAGAGTTCTGCATTGCACTGCTCTTACCCAAACCCTCTTCCCTGATAGACCTTAGCAAGGGGACTGGCAACCTTATGCTATGGTCGGGGCAGAGCCCATTCACGTTCACTGGATGTCTATCTGGTGTATTTACTTTGGAGAGAAGGCAGCCTTCTGTGCCACAAACTTGCATCTACACACACTAGCAGTGTATAAACTTATTTGTAAATGCATGAAAAGTGACACTTGTCCTCTTTCAAAAGTCCCCTGGCAGGATGCAGGCTGAGGAATGTGCTTTGTGTATTGCAGGATTTGAAGGGAACAATCCTCCCAAACGGTGTCTTTATACAGCAGATAAAAGCCAGGATTCAGTGTTTATTTTGTAAGCTCTGGCCTTAAAATTGTTATCTTACTACCGCTTCTCAAAAGGTCACCTTTAAAAGACTGTGCATTTTCTTGCCACCAGGTTAATGGTCATTCACTGCCTCGTACCACACCAAAAAAAAGTGACATTAAGCCCGGAAGTCAAATAAGACCTTGAACGTTTAATTTATACCTCACCCACAAAACAAAACAAACAGTAACAACGGACGTCCAGACTTTGCCTCACAGCATGAGCAGT